TTCTAGAAAATCCCAGCATGGTGCAAATCAAATCACATAAGGAGAAGAAGACCAAGAAATTTAAGGCAAAGGCCTGCTTGTTTGTTGTAGTCTCATCTACTATCTTCACTTGGATTATGACTCTGAAGTCACCGTATGAGATATGGAATTATCTCAAGTCAGAGTACGAGGGAATGCAATAATCAAAGGAATGTGTGAACTAAACTTGATTCGATAATTCGAGTTGTAGAAGATGAAGGAAACAAAATCAATTAAAGAGTATTATGATAAATTATTGGACATTGCAAACCAAATCAAATTACTTAGTGCTGCATTCATAAACTCAAGAATTATTGGAAAAATTTCTTGTAACAATACTTGAAAATTTTGAGGCATCTATTTCAGCCTTGGAAAATACCAAGGATCTTACTCAAATCACTCTTGGAGAGCTTCTTAATGCTTTGTAGGCACAGGAGCAAAGAAAAGCCAAGAGGCAAAAAGGTGCCATTAAATAAGCCTTGCAAACCAAACGTCATGAGAGTGCACGAACAAGAAGAAGAAGACGTTTTTTTAAGAAGAATCAAAATCCTATTGGAGAATCTTCAGTCAACAACAAAACAGGAGTCAAGAAGGGAACCTACCCTCCATGTCAACATTGCAATAAGAAAGGCCATCCTCCTTTCAAATGCTGGAGAAGACCAGATGCTAAGTGTACCAAATGTAACCAAATGGGGCATGAGGTTGTAATTGGTAGGAGCAAGAATCAACAACAAGGTGAAGAGGCTAAGATTGTTGATCAAGAAGAGGAGGATCATCAATTTATGGCTATATGATTCGTAAGCAGTGAATCAAATGAAAGTTGTTTGATTGACAATGGATGCACAAATCATATGACTCATGACAAGGAGTTGTTTAGAGATTTAAAGTCAATTAACATCATGAAAGTCAGAATTGGCAATGAGTATTATATCTCTGTCAAAGGAAAAGGAACTATTGTGATCACAAGTTGTATAAGTACAAAACTTATACATGATGTTCTCTTTATTCCTGACATTGACTAAAATATGTTAAGTGAGGGCCAACTTATTGAAAAAGGCCTTAAAGTTATTTTTGAAGATGAATATTGCTTGATTAAGGATGCAACTAATCAAAATATCTTCAAAGTAAAAATGAAAGGAAAGAGTTTCTCACTCAATCCTTTAAAGGAGAAGCAATATGTTTTTTGTCTCAAAGAAGATGTCACTTATCTTTGGCACAAGAGATTAAGACACTATATTCGTCATGGGTTGTTGTAGCTAAGAGAATAGGGGTTGGCACTTGATGTTCCCAACCTTTGTTATACAATCTCAAGTTGCAAAGTGTGTCAATTTGGAAAGCAAAAAAGAAACTCATTCCCGAAGTCAACATAGAGAGTCACTGACAAATTACAGCTCATCCACACGGATGTTTCATGCCTTCATAAAACACCTTTCTTAAAAGGTAGTCTCTATTTTATTACCTTTATTGACGACTTCACCAGAATGTGTTGGATTTTTTTCTTGAAGTTTAAATCAGAAGTAACTCAAGTTTTTTGGAAGTTTAAGATAATGGGAAGTTAAGAATGAAAGTAGCTGCAAAATTCATATTGTAAGAACTAATAATGGGAAAGAGTATACTTCAGCAGAATTTGATAAGTTTTGTGAAGATTCAAGCATAAAGCATCAGTTTACATCCCCTTACACACCTAACAAAATGGAGTTAGTGAGCGAAGAAATAGATACATCATGGAGATGTCAAGATGCATGTTGCATGAGAAGAATTTGCCAAAGAAGGTTTTGGCAAAGACAGCAAATACGATTGTGTTCCTTCAAAACAGTCTTCCCACAAAGGTAGTGAAAGGACAGACACCATTTGAGGCATGGTATTGTTATAAACCATCTCTGAAATTCCTTAAAGTATTTGTTTGTTTATGTTTCACTCATGTTCCACGAAGTAAACATGACAAATTTGATAGGAGAGCTTCATCAAGCATCTTTATAAGTTATAGTATTGTCAGCAAATCTTATAAAATTTTCCAACCACAAATTGGAAATATTATTATGAACAGGGATGTTCACTTCGTGGAGGATGAAGAGTTGAACTTGGATAATACCAAAAAGAAGTGTCAGAACATGGTAGAGCTGGAACTCAAGTTTTCTAGTTCAAGCATTGAAAAAGATGACTTGCAGAATCAAACAATGGATGATGCTCTTGTGACATGAACAAGGCCACTCTCATATGTTTATGAAAGGTGCAATATTGTTGTGTGTGAACCTACTAACTATGCAGAAGGAAAAGGGATCAAAGGTGGATAGATGAAATGGAGGAGGAATTGTCAATGACAAAGAAAAACAAAACTTGGATAGTAGTGGATACACCTCAAGACAGGAAGGTAATTGGAGTTAAGTTGGTGTTTAGAAACAAACTTAATGTTGATGGCTCGATTAACAAACACAAGGTTAGGCTTGTGGTTAAATGGTATGCCCAAATCTTTGGTGTTTGTTATTCTAATATTTTTTCTCCTATTGCTAGATTGGACACAATCAGGTTACTACTTGTAATAACTGTACAAAGGAGCTCAAAAGTGTTTCAGTTGAATGTAAAATCAGCTTTCTTAAATGGTGTCTTACAGGAAGAAATTTATGTTGTGCATCCCCAAGGGTTTGTGAAGAAAAGTGAGGGAGATAAATTTTATCTTCTCAAGAAGGCCCTTTACGATCTAAAACAAGCTCCAAGAGCTTGGTATAGCAAAATTGATAAACATTACTGAATTTTGGATTTATGAAAAGTCTATCAGAAACAACCTTGTATGTCAAGCACAATGGTAATGACATTCTTATTGTTTTGTTGTATGTCGATGACCTACTAGTTACAGGAAACAATAGAAAGCATATTCAAAACTTTAAACAGGAGATGATGAAGGTGTTTAAAATGATAGATCTTGAAGTTATGTCCTACTTCCTTAACATGGAGATCAAGCAAGGGCAAGGTGAAGTTTTCATATGTCAGAAAAAGTATGCAAAGGAAATACTAAAGAAATTTCAAATGGAGGAGTGCAAGGCAGTAAGCACTCCAATGAATCAAAAGGAGAAGTTGCACAAAGAAGATGACGCTAACAAAGTTGATAAGGGATATTTCAGTAGCTTGATTGGTTGCTTGATATATCTCACGACAACAAGGCCTGATATTTTGAATGTTGTAAGTGAAGTGAATTGCATATCGATTCATGCATTGTGCAAGTGAATTGCATCTCAAGGCTATCAAAAGAATGATTCAGTATGTGAAGGCTACAAGTGATTTTGGTATGAAGTTCACAAGGAACAAGGAGTTCAAGCTAATTGGTTTTTCTAATGATGTGAATGATATGAGAAGTAATTCAAGAAACTATAGCTCAATCCATTACCGAAGCAGAGTTTGTTGTTGCAACAATTACCATCAATCAAGTTTTATGGTTAAGAAAAATTTTACTTGACCTTGACCAGAAGGAAAGCACATGGATTCTTGTTGACAATCAAGCTATGGTTGTTATCTCTCATGATCCTGTGTTTCATGAAAAGTAAACACTTTAACATCGAAAAGGTGTAATTAAAATTTTGTGTTTTTACTTTGATAATCTGTGTTGATATTTTGTGTTTTTACTTTGATAAATCTGTGTTGATATGTGTTTCTGTAGTAAAAATAGGGGTAACATTTTTTTTAGTTGCTTTCCACTTAGTTCTAAGATTGATTGCGTTTATAAATACCTAGTTTGAAGATAGTGTAGATAGTCATTATAGTTCTAGTGTGTAAATACCTAATTCTAGTTTTTAAATACCTAGTTTTTCTTATTTTAGAATCTGTTTTAAGTTGTTTTCTAGGGTTGTTTAGACTCTATTTTGTCCGTAGTTTCTCTAACTAGAATTCATTTTAGGTTCTTCTTCTTCTTCTATACTTGCTTTCTGTTTCATGAACTGTCTTAGTCTTTAAATAGGAATTGTTTCAAGTTTTTTTCATTTTTTAGGTTCTACTTTTAGCTTTTAAATAGAAATTGCATTAGAAATTGCTTCAGGTTTTTCGTTTCTAGGTTCGGTTAGGAATTACCATAGTTCTTGTCCATTCATTGTTCATGTTTCCATTTTTATAATTTGTTTAGGTCCTTTTTTGTTGTTTTTTTCGTAGAGCTTTAGTAGGAACTGTTTTTGGTTACATATTGCTTTGTCTGAGTTGTTTTAGGTTTTAGTTTAGTCTAGTTAACCTAAGTTCTAGGGATATTAGGTAATCATGTAGACATTTTTAGGTTCTTTTAGGTTATCTGTTTCACGTGCTTCTTTCATTTCTTTGCTCATTCATTTAATTTCTTAGTTTTATTTCTTAGTTAGAATTGCCGTTCTCTGCTTTAGATCTAGGTAGAGGTAGTTCTAGCATTGATTTTTGCACCTTAGTTCAATTCAAATAAGCAATTTTTCCACAGTGGGGAAAAAAAGTCAAAAGATAAGTTACATATGTTTTTACTAAAACATTGTCTACTTGCAAGTTTGAGTTTTTGAAGTCAAGACTAGTGTTTGCAGCTCCAATAGCAAGAGTATCTTTATGTTATTTGGATAAAGACAAAGTCTGTTCCAGTTTTTTAGGGATTTCTTATTTCGTTTCTTATGTTTTATAAGTGTGGGTCAATAGGTTAATGGAGTTGTTATTTTCCATAAGATTTCTCATAATACACCGTTTTTTACTTCAATCCTGTTACATCTAGAAATAACATGAATTGATAAGGCTAAACAGATGAATTTCAAGCAAATTAAATAACATGACAAGTATAGAGAATACGCTCAGATGATCATCTTAATCCAGACCTGAAAACTGAAATGTCTGATCAAAATTGAAAACGGTATTCAATACAAATATTTATTATATACAAATGTATTGAAACTTTGATAAGGAAAAATAAAGAAAAAAAAGTATTATTGTTTTATACATTTGCAAATTTGAAAATTAGATCTTAATTAAGATCATTATTAATTAAGATTTTATTTGGGAAGATTTGGAGGATGATCTAAAGAGTATTCCCTTCCCTTGTACAAAGTATGAAGGTAATTGCTAACCTCATCAGCAATCATGCGCCGCATGATCTTCAGAAAGTAATCCTGATTCGAAATCTTGTTTTCTTCTGCCACTCTTTTCTCTCCCTCTTCCAGTTCTCTATCTGATTTTTCAGCCGAGGGAAAAAGACTCAAAGGCGTGACAACGGGAATCTCCTCTCTTTCTTTCTCCGCATGCTGTTTCTTGAAAGGGTAGTCCCACTCCAACGGAGAGGCGCGCTTGGTGTTTGGCGATGCAGCCGATGACAACTGACTCATCGTGCTACGGCGCCGGAGGGTGGCGTTCCAGTGATTTTTAATGGCGTTGTCTGTGCGGCCAGGGAGGAGGCGAGAGAGTGTGGCCCACTTGTTCCCGTGAATAGCGTGCGCCTCGATGATAATCTGGTCCTCCGTCGAAGTGAAGGGGTGGTGCTGCACCTCCGGGCTCAGCTGGTTGCACCATCGCAGCCGGCAGGACTTGCCAGAACGCCCCGGAATGCTGCTGCTGATGAGGGACCAATTCCGCGCGCCATACTGGTTCACCAATTTCAGTAGTATCTCATCCTCCTGAGGACTCCACGAGCCCTTCACCCGATCGTTGCCAACGTCCGTCATCCTTCATCTGTTTGCGAAAATGTTGTCTAAGGTTGTTGCGTGTTAGTTATATTATTATTTCCATTTTTCTGTTTATATCACAAATGAATAAATAAATGAATATAAAGATTTAGTTGAAAAGAACTTGAAACTTAAAAAGTATAACCGCAGAGTGGATTTACGTAAGGTGGTTTCAGTTTCAGGTAGTGGAAGTTTACAGGTAGATTTTGAAGTTTTTAAGTGGTTGAATAAAATTGATGGGTTTATGAAGAGAGTGGGCCAAGAGAATGTTAATTAATTAATTAATATGGAGGAAGTTATAACTTCCACTTTGTCTAACTGATTCAGATAACGTTTTCCTATCAACTCTGATATTTTTGACCTGTTTATTTGTTGGATAGTGTTGTTTTCAAATTTTGTAACGAAGGACATTCGTTTTATTTTCTAAAATGTGTTAGTTTTCCATTTTAGTTCAGCAAAAACGATAAGTGTGACAGTTAAGAACATAAATGTTATATTGACTTTTAATAATAATAATAATAATTGTTATTATTATTATTATTATTATAAGAATTTATTATTATTTATTAATATATGATAGATTGGGCAACTAACTAACTTATGAGAAGTCAAAATGAAGGTGAGGTGTGGCGGCTTATTTATTTATTTAAGATTGGTTGGTTGTAGATAGTTGAAAGATATATGAGATGGGATTGGAAGGAAGGAAATTGCAACTGTAATTTGTTTGTGCAGTTAGACATGCATATAGTGCATCCATCACATTTCACCCTTTTTTTTTATTCTGCCTCCATTTTTGTAGGTTTAAAATAAATTTACTTTCATGATTTTCTCTTATTTGTAAGATTTAATAAGATTTAATTATTATATTTTTGGTGTATTGAATAATGTTTATAATAAGTTTAATTGAATTTTTCCAAAGGTAAGGTAAAAGGTATAAGTTCAAAAGAAATAATTAATTATTTATTCAGTTTTTATTTTTAATTTAATAGATTTTTTATCAATACTTATTGAATCAAAGTTAATTTCTCCATTTTTTAAATCTTTTTTACAAAATGTATATTAAAAATAAATAAATTTAGTTGGTAAAAAAATAGAAACAATTTTTGTACTAAAAAAATCATATAATTACTTTCCATTGCTAATTTATTTTATATAATTTATTTATTTTTAAATATATGGATAAAACATTCAACCCTCTCTTTATGAATGCCCATTAACAATATAATCAGTTATATTAGTTGGAAAAAATATTTATTGAAATATAAGCAATGTAATTTCTTAAAGTTCACTCATCAAAATAATAATCCATTTTGTTCATTCAATGTTTGTTCGTATATAAACAAAAGTTAAATCATGTATAAGTACCTTTCGATAAAATTTATATTTAAAATATTGTTGTAACAACTTTTATTAGTTTTTGATATATTACTTTTATCATTTATTTTTTAGTTATTTTGTTATTATTTTTATTTGTATTTTGGGTTTGATTCATATTTTTTATATTATAAATTGCAATTTCTTTCAATACACATGTTGTCGCTGGCGTCAATGTCGTTTATTGTTGTCAATGGCATCTCTGTCGACTGTTGTCATTGTTAGAGTTCTAGTGTTGACCGACAAGTATATGGTTTTGATCGTTTCGGCCAGACGACTATCGTGCCTTCAACTACGCTTTCATCGAGCTCCTATGTGTCTCTCCTCTCAGTCAAATATTTAGAGCGTCGAGTAATGTTGGATTTTTAAGATTTTTTTACTGTTTATCCATGATTTTTTCTGTTACTTTCTCTTCTAACCTATGTTTGACCCGTTCATATATATGTTTTTTCTCCAAGATAATCTTAGTTAGTTTATTTATGATTGGGTGACTATTATGACATTTTTATCCACAAGATGTCAAGAATGCATTTCTCAACAACGATTTACAATAAGAGATTTATATGGAGCAACCTCCCATATTTATTTCGTTTTCTATGTCGTCTTCATAGATAATTAACAATTTGACTATAGAAGTTAGTGCATACTACATATAATTTTTATGCACCTCCTAAAGGAGATATCTTTATTTATTTTTATCTTTTATCTTTAGTTTATTTGTTATTATTTCTTATCTGTATTTTGGATTTAGTCTATATTTTTTTATTATAAATAAAGAATCTTATCTGAATATTCAACTAAGAGAGATTAATAGTATATATAATTTTCATTATATTCAACCATGTTCATAAAATTTGACATGTGCCTCGTTTAGATACGGCTTAGACTTTATTAATTTTGTAAAATAAAATTGAATATCTATATTAAGGGGACTTTTTTTATATACACATTTTTTTCCTTCAATTTTACATGTTATTTTAAGTTAAATTGATTATATTCATTTTTATTCTTTAAATAACTATTATTTAAATTTAATTATTTTATAAATTTAAATAATTATTTTTGTCAAACCCCATTAAAACACACTCAAAACCCCAAGTAGTGGGATCCATGTGCCAATGAGTGAGTGAGCGTTTCAGTTAGTGGTAGGAGAGTGGTCGTTCGGCTTGGGTGACGGCAGTACTTAATGCGAAATTTCAAATGTCGTGCTACTTCTCTGCATGCCTTCCTTCTTCTTCACACTGCTGAAACCATTTTCTCTTCCTTCTCTCTAAAATCTCCACCTTCTCTCTAAGAAAATCTCATTTTTTTCTTCTTCCGATCACCTCTCAGGTACCGTTTGAACACTCCCGGTGTCAAGAGCTTTCGTTTAAACCGTCGGTTTGTGATCCTGAGCTGGTGAGTTTCTTTCTCTTTAGCACGTTAGTTTATTCTCGCATGCAACCCTATATTCCTGGTCGCTTGAGCGAGTCGTATTATTTTGAGCGTTTCTGGTTTTCTGTTTGGTTCAGTATTCCTAAAACGTGATCATCGAACGATATACGCTGTGAACAGCGTTCGGTTCTTCTTAGGAGTGCATTGTCTTACCTGATTTCTCATGCTTTAGGGATAATGTCTAAGAGTCTTTCTGTAATACTATATAGGATTAGGTAAACCGTGACCGAGAGTTCGCATTCACCGTTCAGTTTTCCTTTGAGCGTTCGTCTATATTAAGTTCTTCTTCTCCAAGGAATTTCGTTAATGAAGATCGTGTTATAATATTATATATGTATAAATGAGTGTTCGGCCTAAGTGTAGTCCTTCTTTAGGTTTCCTAAATAGTGTAGTTCATGTATTACATACTACTTAAGGTCGTAGACGTTATCGTTCTTTTTCAGTAAAAATAAGTGTGGAGCAATTGTTTATATATATATTCATTCATTTTATGTAAGTTTATTTGTGCTCGGTCTTGGACCAAGCGTTTGATCTCAGTAGCGCTCGTTCCTGATAAGTACTTGGTCTTAGACCAGTCTCGTTCGTTAGTGTTCGATTTCTATAGGGCTCGGTCTTAAATCAAGCGTTGGGTCTCGTATTTAGTAATCTATTATTACTCTTTTAGAATAAGGGTCTTCAGCCAAAATCGATAGCGTTCGTTACTCATAGTTTCTCATCAGTATTAGTATTGTGTGTCAAACAGTGTTGGTCTTTAAAAGGTGTTTGGCCTAGAGTCTTAGTACTTAGCCTAGGCTTCGTGGCGTCCGTTTTGAACTCTTAGTGGTCTGTTTATTGAAGTGAATAAGTAACGCTCAATCATGTTAGTTTCTAAGAAGTGTGATCGTATTTCAGTTGAATGTATTAATGACGAAGTGTAAAGGAGTTTGAAATGTGATGTGAATGAAATAGTTTGATTTTGAATGAGTATTCCAGGGAGGAATATCTCAAAAAGTGGTTATTGATTGGTAAAGTATGAATGTGGGCAAAGCTTAGCGGGCGTTTATCCTGATATTCCATGATTACTCATTCTCAAGTAGAGAGGAGTAAGTCATGTGTGGGAATGGCAGGAGGTCCTAGTCCATAAGGTTAACTTGGACGGAACTTATCAACCTCTGGTGGCAGCTGTTGAGGGTATCCCAGTTACTACATCACCCGGGTGCACGAACGTCGTAGCTACACAGGATTCATACAGTCCGGACAGTTAGAGTCAAGTGGTCGTTATTTGCATGCCTTGATGTATGAATGATGATTTGAGTGTTGTTGGTTTAATTATGAATGTTGTATGTTGTTATTGAAGAAATTAAATTACATAAGCTTACCCTGTTTTCCATTTTTGTCTATGTCGTGCGTCCTGTCGTTGTCTGTTGCAATGATCATCCGTGTGGATGTGAGCACAAGGAGAAGAGCTGCTGGAAGATGTATTGGAGGATGCATCAGAAGTGAAGGTCGAACCTTAAGAACGTTCGGTATGTTGATTAGCTTTATAATTTGTAAGACCGTTCGGTCTAGTGATAGCTATCGTACAGTTTTAAATTTCCTGCTGTTATGTAAGGTCGTTCGGCCATAATAGTACTTCGCTGAGTGTTGAACTGATTTGTAGTATTGTTAATATGTGATTATTCTCTAATATGATTTTACACTGTATTTTTGGGATGTTACAATTTTACCATTTTATGTTTTTAATAAATAATTTTTTGAATTATTTCTATACAAAGAAAATTATTTTTTTGCATACACATCTTTTCTGTCAATTTTATTCATTATTTTAAATTGAAATAGTTATATTTTCATTTTTATCCTTTAAATAACCCTCATCTAAATTTAATTATTTTATAAATTAAAATAATTATTTTACTATTTTAACTTTTTAATAACTACTTTTTAAATTCATATAATTATTTAAAATAATAAAAAAACTATCTAATAATAAAACTTATTCAAATTATTTATTTTTATTACTATTTTTAATAAAAATTATTTTATTATGTTATTTATATTTATAATTATTTTTCATAAAAGTTATTTTATAGTTTAATAAAAAATTTCTATTTATATTAGCTATTTATATATTATGTTACACATCGAATTTTGACATCCTTATTGTCATAATAAACCTCTTTTGTTACTAACCATTAAATAGGCCATAAATCGAGAGTGAAATTTAGAATATAAATATATTTTTTCTCACAAAGTTATATACTTAAAAATGAGTAGAAGTTCAACATAAATATATTTTTAAAAAAAAATACTTATTTATTGGTGTAATATATTTATTAACAGCTAAATCCAATCTCCTCGTCCACATGGAAAGGAAAAAGTATTTCGCATTCTTAAACAAAATTAAGAAAATTAAGTATTTTCTTTGTATGGAAACCAAACCTAAACCCGAGAGATAAGTGTTCATATTATAATAAGAGATATATGAACTCTTGAGAAAAGAAAAACCGTAGTAATCCTTCCTGATCGTCCTAATCCCATGAGTAAAGAGAAAATTAAAATATCACGTAATTCGGGATAAGTTTGGTTTGAAACTCGAAAATATTAATTAATTTTATAAAAATACAAAATTCAAGACAAAAATCGTACTATAAAAAACCGCAAAGGAGGTAAATAATTAATGCATATGAGTAAGGACAGAAGTTTTTTATACTGTTTTTAGATATAAAACTATTACATATATATAACTGTCATTGAATGAGTGTTTTTACAGTAAGAGGGTATGAACTTTATACTCAGAAAACATTAAAGAGAAAAAGCATACTGCAACAGTGGATTACCCTTTTCACCTTATAAATCATTTTCAAAGGAAAATTTTTGTGTACGTTGGTTTTGTGAAACAGTGCTCTAATTAAGAGTGTGGTCCATATCTACAACGATATCACTGCTGATTGCTGCATCTCATAATCATCTGTGCTTCTCCATACAAAGAAGCATACCATCAAGGGTCCCAGTAAGGAGGAACACCATTACTCAACTACACGTTTCAATCCATAAATCGTTTCAAAGAAATCACACTGAGAAAGAGGTTCGTTGAAGAAATATAAATCCCTGATAAAATATGAGTTGAATCATAATATTCTTTACTCAATATCTTAAGATCATAGATTAACGAGTTTTTCACTTTTATAAAGTATTCTACTACTTTTTTTTATTCAATATGAAGCTTTATCTCATGTTTAGATTTTTCAGATGCTGTTTAAGTTTATATATATCAGCGATCAGATTTTTCACTTGTTGAAAGATATATTCTTTTTCCAATGGTAATGCATGCTTGATCTAATGCAAATGAAGTAAGATTTTCATCTCCTTTTTCTTGATGATCTTGGAAAACTCATGTTTCTTTCTAATTTGAAAGTAACATAGCAAATGTTTTTCTGCTATAAATCTATGACCACAGACTAATTCTGCTAACGTGTTGTTCCTTCAACCAGTTTTTTGCAGAACTAGTAACTGTCTTTGAATATGCTTAACCAGTTTTTTATTCTATTCTGGTGTGACTTTTTGTAATTGTGTGAAACAAATACATTATATTTATAAATAGGAAATATTTTTACACATTTTTTTATTACATTTTGATACAACATGTCATATTTTTTATTGATTCATTATTTATTTGTTATTAATATACTCTAAATTTAATATAAAAAAATAACATATATGTTATATTAACGTGTAGTCAAGAAAAATCTTTATTAACGTATCATTATCCTCGTTCATACTAAATTATGGTTTAAGTATTAATTGTCTGAAATACCAATTAAAGTTTAACTAAAAATAAAATTAAATGATACCAATGAATCCAATTATTATTTTATTAGCTTTTTAAAAACTAAATTAAATTTTAAAATTTATTTCTTATCAGAATTTAATTTAGAGTCTATTTTACTTTATTAATTTTGTTAAGATTAAATTAAATTTAAAATGTATCTTAAAAAAGAATGAAACTAATTTAAAGTATAAAAATAAATATAAATCTTACTTTTATAGAGTAGATTTAAGAGATTGTGAGATTATTTATAAGATATATTTTGTTGAACTGTAAAACGAAAGTAAGAGTTGGGTTGCATATATTATATGTTGAAGATAAAGAAATGTTGAAAAAAAAATAAAACAATGTCATATAGTGACAGAAGGCATCCTAAGAATAAAAAAACGAAAAAGAAAATGGCAGTGATGAATTATGGTTGTTGTAGGTAATGAGAAGGGAAGAAGAACCTCTGCCTCTTACTTCTGGTGGGACAATTAGTGGCCACAGATAACGAAGCAATTTTGTTGACAGCTGATTTAAGTGATTGTTTGAGAGTGCTGAGGCAAACACTGTTCTCTTCACTGTCCTTTGAACAAAGAACCAATATGCTTTTGATTCTGCCACCAACACTGGCTATGTCAGCCTTAACTGCTGTCAGTCTCAACCCTTTCAGAACTTCGATCAGCTCAGGGAACACTTCTGGTCGATCATCACAGCAAACTGAAGCTTTGATTATCATCTTCTCCTTCAATTTCTTCACTTTTTTGTAGCTTTCATCTTCGGCTTCCTGGAAGTCAATTGTTACTTCATCAGTTTCACTTGGAACAGTGATGCCTTTGCTCACACACATCGCTTTTCGCTTTAGATCTTTCACATGGTCTACCACACTCCCTAGTAATGCTGCTTTGTCCATCTGCACCCACACAATTTTTCCTGTTATACTTTCTTTCCGTTAAAGATAGGGATGCTAGTGGAACTAAAATCTATGGCCTATCACACAACCTAGTATAGCTATTTCATGCTATGATCCTCTTACTTTCTTTTCTCTTCTAAACTTTGGAAGTTAGTGAAAAATTGAAATCTGCATCACCTATCAGAGATTTGAAAGTGACTGTGCTATCTGGGAATCTGGTTTTTATTTAACTCAAGGTATTTTTTTCAATTTGAAAGATTGAATTTTTCATCCAAATATTCTTTTTATATTGATAAACTTGAAGATCAAACATCTGGGATCATATATTTAATTATCTACCAATCATATCATATATTTCATTGGTACGTCAAATCTGATTTAATTTGGCCTAATGATACCCTATACATCCTAGGAAATTCTGGTTTCACTTTCTTGTTTGTCGTCTTAAAGAATATGCAAACTTTGAAAAGAATAGTGTATACTTGTAAGGAGAAATTATGCCACTCAGCAAAAGAGAGTCATGATGAATTTTTCTTTTTTCTTTTTCCTCTTACCTTATCAGACTTGGGAATGAGTTTTCTGAGAGTTGCAAGCTGTGCATTGATTCTGTCCCTGCGCCTTTTCTCTGCTTGGCTATGACTCTTTGAAGCACTGGCAACTCTATCTTCTGCAATGGTTGCAGGCCACAAAGGGAACTCAGTAAACTGAAGAGATTGAGGGTCAGAAGCAAGAGGGGGTGTTTGAGTTGTTGGAACTGAAAAAGGAGATAATTGATCACTGTTTGGTGCAGAATTGCACTGAGCCATGTTGGTAGCAAGAGGCCAACCAGAATAGTGGTAACTTTCCATATGCATAATCAGAGACCATATTCTAATGCCTGTGCCTGGCTTTGTGAGCCTTTTATTTCCCATTCATTGACACTGTTTGCTTAATGGGCGATCTTCTTCTTATCTTTATGGTGATTGGTGTGATATGGAATGACCTTTAATGGGGTCAGATGAAAATGGTTTTTGGCCGTATGCGCCTGTCACTTCACCAAGAAAATTTTCTCCCTAATAAATCTCACTACACTTTGTGAAGAATCTCAAGTTTGAGAAGATGAAAAAGGATGAGCCAAAATAAAAAGCAAGAGGGTGCCATGGCCCAACAAACAGGCTTATCTTAATGAGTATCCGTGCTGACTAAGAATATGAAGCAGAAATGAAATAGTACCTTGCAATTGGACTTGGGAGCCACTGTGTAGAACTCTGGAATAGCTTGACCTAGTAACAGTGACTGATGTATGTAGTGCTGCAAGAACAGTATCTTATTCTTCTATATGTGTGTATAGCCATAAAGTCTTTTGTCTCCTCTCTTTGTAATTATAACCATTTGGGCTCTATCTCTAAATAATTGTCCTCATCCTAGTTTTTTTCTTTCTTTTTACAGTCAAATATTCATCCTTTCTAGAATTTTTTAAATCTGCTTAGCAAATTGATGTTTCTTGATAGATATCTTTTACAGATAAACATGCAATGATCCCATTTCTAGCCATATATTAAAGAACAAAAACATCTGTTAATCATCTTTATAATTCTAGTACTTACCTTAAAATTTTAACTTTACAGTTAAAAATGAAAATGCTACTATTTTTAACCCTATATGGGAGATTCCCTACAGACAAAATGCTCAATGATTGGTTTAATTTCAAGAGTGATATGGTCAAGGTAAGTTATACTTTGATTGAGGGCTTTCTCGTTGAATTTGAACTTGGTTAAGTTTGATGAGAGAAGTTACGGTACTATCATATACTGTCACAACCCTTGCAGTGATGAGGAAGATGAAAAAGGTGGCTGAAGGAGAACATTTGTACACAAAAAAGAAGGCAAGATTTTCTCGTACAATTAGACAAATGTCTGATGTAACAACAGTGATAAAACGGATTGTCCATTGAGCTTAAGACAAGTTGTGGACCTGTTTTATCTCTCTCTCAATTATTTTATGTGATTAAAAAGTGACAGAATGAATGAAAAAACAGTCATGCTAATCGATAGGGTGTCAATCATATGTTGAAACAGTTAGCATAAACTGATCTTGAGAATCACCGTACTAACATAAATGATAGTAGTATTACATAACCATAGGTATTCAATTAGGGTTTCAGTCACAAGAAATCTCTTCAAAATCAAATGGGTTAATTAATTACTTGAATTCTTTGAATATAGTGATTGAAAGGTGGAAATTCAAAGCATGGCACTGAGTAAAAGCGGCTTGTTTTGTACACTTTAAATGGCTCTCTGATTGAAAAGCTCACATAGTGTGTCTCCAGCAGAAGCTAGCAAACAAAGGAAGCTTCAATTACAGTGATTGGAGGGTCCCATTTTCCTTCACAATTTGTAACTCATAATAAAGCACCTTAAAGAGTGATACGACTATTTATCCAACCACTCATTTTGCTACCTCAATTATCTCTCTTACAATTTCTGTATTTTCTTTCTTTTCTTTTTCTCTTATCTCATCGAAATTTTCGGCTTTTGGGTCCCATAATCTGAAATCATATGTCCAATTTTTATATATATGATAGGCGGAGAGAAGGCGTCACGATGAAAATGTGGAAAACCAAAATGATCAAAGTAAGGTGACACTTCCTTTAATAGTTATAAAATTGACTTAGTAATAAAGTTCGAGTTGGAAGGAGAGTGATAAAGTGAGAAAGAAGAAAGGAAAAAGTTATAGGTTTATATATAATCTCTCACTAATATTTAAAAATTATAAAATTGATTTGGTAAGTTTAAAAAATATATAAAAAAAAGTTATTGATTTAATTCTTAACTAATAAAATACTAATAACCAATATTTTGTATGATAAAAAAAAGATGGCACGTCCTTTTTTGTGTGAAGCAATGGAATGATGAGAAATAAAGCATTGTAGAGACAGAAGCCAATTAAGGTTGGAAGGTTATGCGTTGGTTCTTCTCCCTTGGGTCATAGAAAGGTGAAATAATAGAAAGATAAGGTGCAATCATGGATTGGCAATAAATGCATATGCCTCAATTCAGAGTAATTATTAGAAGACGGCATAAAAATAAATGGGAAAGATGCACCTAAAAAAATATCCAAATAATTATGTAATTGCAAATCAGAGCTAAGAAAATCCTTTCTTTCTACTTTATCATAATTCCATATATGTCATTCAACTTCGTGTTTTTTGTACTTTAACTTTTCTCCCTTTTGAGTCACTCCACACTAATACTATTACATCTTTTGTAGATGATTTCACTGTAGATCATAAATTTTTTATGATTTTTTATATTATTTTAAAATTAAATTATAAGTTTAATTTAATCTTATAAAATTAATTTATGTATAATATGTGATAAATTTATCTTTTATATTTAATCATCTTAAAATTTTCAACCTAAAACATACAAAGGAGTGATTTATCTGTTTGGATGTGTCGTAATGTTTGAAGTGAAAGATGAGTAAGATATATTAGATGTAAATATATGCAGTGCACGTGGTGTAAATATAGTTGGTCACTCAAGAATTGAGATTGATGATTCATTTTTGAGAAATATTTAACTATTTCAGCGATGTTTTCAAGTTATTTGGATGGAAGATTTTGCTTGTGGTTAAATTTTTTTCAAGTGTATGTAGGCAACAGCAGGTTTTGTTGGAAATGGTAAAGGTTATTTGTTATTGTTCCATCATCATTCTGTGCTAAGATAAACTGGGTATGTGACTTACCAAAAGACATGTACAATTTGGTCATACTAATTGTTGCCTAGAATGATAGATTGATTAGTCAATGTCTATGACTTACCAACAGACATGGCAAACCAAGTTTTTAGTCTCATCTCCTAACCTTATTTGCTGTCGGCATAAGTATGGAGTATTTCAATGATTTTACCTAATTTAACCCTTTAAAGTTGAACTACTACTGATGAAATTATTGATAATTCACAAATTAAAAAACGCATTTTTTAAGTTGTTACTCAATCTTAAGGTAAACTTGTTATTGTAATAAAACATTACAGAGTTTTGTTTTTGGCATTTCACTTCATCATTATGAATGACAATTCTATCAAAGGGCACATATATAAAATATTCTTCAATATATATAATAAATATTAATCATTTATTTTATGCATAAATACAAATAAGCAGAAAGGAAAAGCTATAAATAATGTTAATTGCTAATACATAATATTGATCGTTTTGTTTAAAAGAAAATCATTTTTGTACTTTTTTTTTCAATAATAAACTTAAGAATTAGATATTTTCGTTTGAAAACATTGTGTTTTGAATATTTTTATTGTGATTTATGTTTTTGGATTATTTTAAAATTAAATTTTCAATTTAGCTTTAAAAGTTTTTAATGATATATTTATATTGCTTTTTTTAACTTTATACATGCATAAAGGTTATGTAAATAGTATAAAGTAAATAATGAAACAAGTATAAATATGTTTTTCGAATACATAAGGATGAGTAATATAATACATACATATAGAGTAAAAAATTAAGTAAATATTAAATTTAAATATATTCAATACATTCTCGGGAATAACTCTTACTCCCAAGACGAGTTAACTCTCCAAATTCGAACCAAATAATTGTTGAGAATGACTGGATTCAACTGGATTTTAAGATTAACAACTCATTTCATGTAATCAAATTTATATTTATTTGTATATTTGTTTAAAGATATAAGATAATGTTTTACCTCTTACATGAGCAGCTTTGAAAGAGAATTGCGAGATGGAAATGGTGTAATTTGGAGTATCATTTTCTCTAAAATGGTCAATTGATTTTCCGTAAAAGTAAGCAGAATCAATCAAATGCTTTCAAAGTGGAAAAGAGGAAATTTATTTGGGAAAAATCGCGAGTTATGTATACAAACAGGGAAATCTTCTTTGGGTACATTCTCTCCCTTCATAATTCTACAAGTGCAATGGAAGATTGTCTAATGCTTTCTCTTATTTTCTAAGTGGTTTTTCTCGCAAATTTAACCAAACAAATTCCTGATTTATTTATCCGCAAAAATTGTGCTATGTGCATTCTATTGTTCAAGTATTAATTGTGTGCTTTATTTATCTTCTGCCATATTTTGTGTATCCTCCACTTTTAATTTCCTAACATCCAGAGTGCAAGCGAGTAGAGAATTCTCATGAACTAATTATAGGCTTCATAGGATTCTAGTTTTATAAATTAGGATTCATAGTGTTAGTAGATACACATTGTCAAGGTGGATTGACATAAGAGATTAAATATTGGTAATAAGCTTCCATGACATCGTTAAAATCTCGCTTGACAAACAATTTTTAAATCTGTTGTTGCCTGTAATCCAGTCGAGTGGCTAGAGAGCTAAGCAAGTCTTCCTTGACAACTCCAAATCACAGCCTTGAAGATTGAAAAAGTTTTTTTTCTGGAAGCAAAGAGGTCTAAAGGGCAGCAATAAAAACGAGAAAAAGATTACATCAAAAGAATCAGATATCAATTAAAATCCGAGAACAAAAGTCTGCCCTTGAAGGAAGCGACCAAACTTCTCCATACACAGGTCTCCAAATAATGGAAGCAGAGACGGTGTACGTTCATTTGGTGAACCAAGACGTAACAAGTGTTGGACCTTTCACAACTGTAGGATAGAAAAAGTATTTTAAGAAATTAAGTTATATTCAACTTAGTGAAAGTTAAAAAGAAGAAATTAAGGAATTTTTTATCGATAAAAATTATCATATATTCAATAAAAACTGAAACATACTAATATGACTGGCCATGTGTCGCTAATGAGATTTAATAGAAATTGTCTATGGAACAAAATCTTACTGAAAATGTTTTAATACACTAATATAAAATAATGAGCTTATGGAACAACAATAGTCGATTCATCATAATTGCGACTAAATGTGAATCGGATCACAATAAACAGCATGCCAAGAAGGATTGAGTAACTTCCACAACTACGAGTGCGCAAATCTAGGCCTCAACATGCAAAGATCAAGCTGGTTGTTAAGGTCGTGAATTTCGTATATACTAGGAGTAATTCAGTTTTTGTTTGGTCTATAACTAAGACTAACTCATTTAATACAAGAAAAATGGTAGAATACAGAAATTTATGGTTAATTAGAACCAGCACAGCTCAAAAAATGCCTCAACTACAACCCAGAGAAAACAAGAAACTTACAAGACCTACACAATCTAGACAGAAACTTCAATTATTTTAACTTGGAATCTCCCAGCACCACCAGAAGCAAAGAAAGAATGCTACATCCAAATCACACAAGATATTCTACGCAAAACTTTGAAGTTTCGATACACTGCTCTTCATAGAGGAGTTCACGCTATACTTTGCCAGCGTAAATGTCAGTAGCTACTGCCCATGGGTGGCATGCCGTATGGAGGCATTGGGGGCATCCCAAGTCCACCCATTGGAGGGGGAGGAGCAAAGCCTCCTCCCATTCCTACTGGGCCTCCCATTCCAGGCATTGGTGGTGCAGGCAAAGCAAGGGGCAATAATTGAGCATACATGTTCTGCAACAGAAAACAAATCTCATTCATATCAGTACTGCTCAATCCTTAGAAAGGATTTATCGACTCCAAACCTTTCTAAACAGTCAAACTGCCGCTGACATAAAATGGCCACAATAATTACCTGCTGTGCAACTACCTCCTTTTCTTCATGCTCCTTAGCCTTCACTTCGTTTTGTGCTTCAATTTTGTCCTTCACTAGCTCATCGACTTTGCCAGTGTACTCACGAATAAACTACAACGGCCAAAAAAATGACGATTAGAGAAACCTCTGGATATGACGGAAATAAATTGATCCATTCCAGCTCAATGAAAGGCTGAACTATAACTGCCATTAGTAAACCAAGATTTTTACTGCATAACTGTGTAATATCGCATAAGACCAACCACAATATTCAGAAGTTAAGCACCCATTACTAAGTACTGATTGAACATGTAATTATAATGTAAACCTAATATAGATTGGTTTTATAATAAAGGAGGAAGTATGATTAGAATGTTTCCCCATAAAAGTATTTCAAAGGGACTGATTATATGATTGCAACCCATAAAATATCAAACTTTGCATAGACGATAAAATTTGCTATTGAATAGCCATGCTTCTCAGGGAAATATCCAAAGCTTTGCTCTGAATTATAGCCAAGGTTACCAGCGATTAAAACAAAAAATAACGAAGTTAATTTTTTAGTGAATCATAATTTGTTGTATCAAGTTGTAACGCTAAGAGACAGCAAAAAACAAGTTCAAATATATGGCATAGATGATATATAGTGTTCATGTATTATGAACCAAATAGACAAACAACTTGACCATAAGTCTAACAAAACAAATTGTTAGTTTTTATCTTAATTTCGTGAAACCTCTATTTTGGAAGAATAAGACCAAGTCAAATACAGTGCATGTAATGAATGAGTGAGTGGCGAATAAGTTCTGCAATAAGTTCAGAAGTGCTACTTCAATCCTTTTCATTTAACATTTAAGCTTCTATAATTTTAAATTTCTCTCATGAGAATTGGTAAAAGAGAAATGAAAAAGTAAAAAATAAAATTAACTGCTGAACCGTTTTACCTTTATTAATGATAAGAAATTGCTATAATTCATCCATGCACCCCAAGGTTTTAAATCAGTTTACATCTTATGATACAAATCGATGACTAGTTTAAATCATGTTAATAGTGAATCATACTATTATGAATACAAGTGATGAAACTAGCAGCATGAAATAAAAGCAAACCTGCAATAGATAGGGGAAGGCAAAGTCCACCATATTGTGCATCCAAGCTAGTTCAAGAACAATGTCTGCCCGGATCAAATCATAGCAAACAAATAGACATGAGGCAAAACATTCCTTCTTTCCCTGTGTAAGATATGAGAAGAAAAATTAGAAAATGCACATAATAGTTAAATTAAAATACTATTATCATCCTAAAGACAAACAAAAAAGCTTGAAGCCATAAGTAAGAAGCTTCGATGGCCTTCAATCAGTAATTTGGGTTGTAAGACTAACATGCTCTGGCTGAACAAACAACTGGGCTTTGACAAAAAGAAAATAATAGAGTCTAGGAATCAAATAATTTTCATCCATGACTTAGAATTGCACATACTGCAAGAGATACCATTAGTTTGCAATAAACATTTCTGTGAAGAAGGATGCAGGGTAACTATGTATGGATAGAACTGTACAAAGCATAATGGTATAATTATTAAGCAAAACACATTATCAAGGAAGTAGTGAAAACACATGCGTGCATTTGTTTTCAGTTTTTTTATGATAATAAAAAATAACAAAATTATTAAATATAATAAATTTTATATTTTTATTGCAAACGGATTTTATTTATTTTTTAGAAATTCTTTTATTATAGATAGTTATTTTAGTTTTAAATGGTTAAATAAAAAAAAAAGTTCAAATGGAGATAAGAAAACAGTTCGAATATTAAAAAATGTCGGTTAAAGGGTAAAATAGTAAAACAGTTAATTTAACTTAAGAAAAACTGTCATATAAAAGGTAAAATAGGTATAACAATGTAGATAACAAAAAGAGGAATTCAATTCATATAATAGTATAGATAGTATAGATAATAGTTCGTCAAATTAAATAAGATATTGCAAGAAATTGAATTGTATAAGCAATTGGAAACTGAATTTAGTACCTGATCGATGAAATAAACAAGCAACTCCTCAGCAAGTTCACGTTCTCCAGATTGTGAAGCTGTCTCCATGGCGTCTTTGTATAGGTTATCCTTCTTTGACAAAGCAATAGACTGCTTCCACCTACCTGCCTTCTTGTAAATATAAGCAGCAACTCGTCTCATCTCAAGAAGCTCATGCTTTTCAATCTACATCATTAATAACATTCTATAAGGTTTCCACAACTGAAACCACAAAATAGTTAAAATTCAGAGCAAATGCCACTCACCCTTTGGGCAAGGCCTATTTGATCAAAGTTATCATACAGATCAATAGACTCGCGCAGTCTATCATAATCCTCCTCCTCAACATATATCTCATTCAATGCTTCATTAACAGCAGATACATTGTTGCTTTGAACCGCAAACATATATGGTTTCACAAGGCGAAGGTGACCAGCCTATAGCATATTAAAGGGAAATTGAATGTTAGTTTTATGGAGAGCAACAACTAATATAACAACTTTTGCTTTACCTTCCGCAAGATGTCAACAACACGAGCATGATCCACACGAAGTGCAAGGACATTCAGAACATCATTTATAAGATCTGGATGCTCTTCCAAGTAGAAGTGGACAGCCTTATAATACAATTCCACATTAGCAACTTTAACAACAACATCTTTGAATTGCATGTGATCCCATGCTTCAGGTGAATGGTTCATGATGGTAGTTGCAGCATTATCAAACTCATCATATTGTATATACAAATAGGTCAATTCTTTCCAGTGCTGTTGTTCATCGCAAGCTCGTATGAGTTTGGGAATATTGAGCCTGGTTGAGAATAGTTTGATATGCTCCATAAGCTTCTCAGGGCGGTATCTAGCATATAGAACTCCAAGCTCAGTAAAGATGCCCATATGAGCTCTTTCTAACCCTAAACCACTCTCCATGAGAGATATTAGCTCATTGAAGCAACCTCTATTTTGGTAATACTCACTGACTTCTTCCAAGTCATCCACCTATAAAATTAATGAAAATGAAAAAGGTTAATGCGAAAAGCATTGGAAAGTCAAGAAGATCACTACCAGCATTAAAACAGCACAACACCCTTCCAATCATAAATCATGTGCATTCACCACACACTTGAAGGGAATTTGTTTCACTATCACATACTGAAGAACCAGATCATCAAAACCATCAGAAATTAAGAAAACTTTTCAAATATACTTTATACACGCACACAGTTCACCAAAAATAAAAAATCAACACAATACCTGAATAATTATGTTCAGTCCACAAATCTGGGCCAAACGAAACTCCTCTGCATCAACACAAGCAAAGCAAACTTCCTTCCATGTCTTTGAGCTGTTAGCTTTCCTTGCTGCATCAACAGCACCTTGAAACTGGTTTAATTTGACCAGTGTGATGGCCAACTTGGCCCAGTTAGATATAAAAGCAAATATGATTTTTGCAGCCTCATATAATGCTTCATCATACAACCGGTCACCAACAGTTTGAAGATTGGCAACATTTGGCATAAGAATGAACTCCTCAATGTCACTTAGCCTATCAATCTTTGCATATGCATAAATGAGCTCACTGTCAACCTTGGGTTCCTTTGCTTTCTGCCTTACCATCAGCAAGTATTTCACCAAGTCATGGTAAACATTGGCATCTTCAGCAGCACGGATAACATCTAAAAATTGTGTAGAATCATCTGCTCGTATAAATGATTCAATCGCATCACTTACTAGCCCATCCCTGAGTTGAGCCTTGGCCACCTGACTCCAAACAGCATCTTCTTCGACTCTGAAAGCAAACTCCACAGCTCTATCAATGCTATGAATATTATCAAGTAACACATTGACTGCTTGAACATTCAAGTTGAACTTCTTAAAAATGGCAAATGCTTCCTCATATAACTGAGCTTCTACAGCCATTTCTCCAACTGCAGGTCCATCAAAGTTATCCAACCTATTGACATAATCCATAACTCTGGACGGATCGGCCTTTATCGCTGTCAAAATAAGAAGATTCTGCAAATTAAAGTTCCCACTGAATGCAGAATTCTGAAGGACGATCTTCTCAAGAAGTTCAATCAGTTCATGAGGCAGATCAGCTGTCATGAAAGCCTTAACAGCTGCAGAAACTTGCTCAGGGCTTGAGCTTTCTGGCAAAGCAGTGGATACAACTTGATCAATAAGTTGCCTTCTATAGTCATTATCAGGATCAAGAACTTTGGCCCACAGATCACCATCCATTCTCTCAACAACATATCTGTCATCACAATATAAGCATGTGAACATTGGACACAAGAAAGTTGATTTGATGGATTAAGGATCACAAAATATAGGTTCTTTTAATGTGCAGGAGTGCACTTTAAAGTACAAAGTGCAGATATAACCATATATTTAGGAAAATGAATGGTTGAGAATATGATAAAATACATTTACATGTATGAAAAATCTTAAAGTTGTACCAATTTTAACCATTGGTCTTCTGATTAATGATTGTAACCACACTTTATTTATTCAAAGTACAGTCACTTAGGAGGAGCCAAGACATACCTTGCTTGCAGTTTGAACAAAGAATTTTTATTAGTGACATAGATAAGTTCATCATCACATTGTCCTCGCCGATAAGCTACAACAGCTAAGGTGGGATCACGTTTCTCACAGTACTTGCCCACAACTCTAGAATCATAGTATGGGTTGGTCGTGAGGAAATGTTCTGGGTTGTTGTTGCTATCAATGATAATTTTACCCAGTGCATTGTGAACATGTACATCCTGGCTTCCCTCACTTACAAGATGTTCCAAGAATTGTGTGAGAAAACGAAGCCGATTCCTGCATACCAAAGAAAGGGACAGAATGAATAAGAAACATGAGTGGAAAGCAGCAGGACATTGGTAAAGGGAAAACACCACCTCTTCTCACATTCCTCCACAAGGGGCTCCACTGGTAGTAACGAACGAACAGAAAGAATCAAGCCCTTGATAAAATCTTCTGGGCATTCATCATCCAGCAGCTGCCCCACAACTAAAGGAGCATTCCCTGGGTTTACCTGTATATGAAGGAACAAAGTTTTACAAAGGCAGAGCGGAAGAGAGCGATAGCACTCATGAGATAAGCGAGGCTACTACACTATACCTTTTGAACATAGCCTTCAATGTAGCGAAGCATGTTGCTTGTGTACAGATAGTGAGTTAGATCTGGAACAAATCCAAAACGATCGCAAACATTTATCAAAGGCCGAGCATCTGGAAGCTTAGCCTCCATAAGAAAGTTTTTAGTTTTCTCAGCATCATAGAAATTTGATTCTCTTGTCACACGCTCAACCTCCTTGATTTGACCTGTCTTTGCAGCTGCCTCAATGTACTTAAAGTGAATGTCAGGATCCTCGCTGTTCCAATTATTTAGAGGACATACATCAGCAGAAATACACAGGATAACATATCAATTATAAATGAGGTCAATTACCAACAGAAAGAAAAAACATATTTTCCTTTCAGAATAAAAGAATTACCTGGAGCTCAAGTAAGATCCAAGGAAAAAATACAATCCCTCATACGACCTAAACTGCTCAAAAATTTTTATGCAGGCCTCAACCCCCAATTGCTCACAATATTCTTTAGCAACCTGAACACACATAAGAAAGCTTTGTCAACAACTGTTGGTAAGTTCCAAGTTATAGAAGACAAGGACACCACCATACCTGCACAATGATCTGAAGGTTCCCCCTAAGATTTGCCAGCAGTAGGTCCTTCATGCACTCTAATGCCCATTCTCGTGACAGTGTACCAAAAAACTCTACAAGTGACTGTAACAACCACATAATAAGTATTTTAAAAGTTCAAATGAGGAATTTTAAACCCTAAAATAGATCTAAAAGCAGAACAGAAAATAAACCTGAGGTTCAATTGCATGCGTATTAACAATCACACGTTTTATATCTGGCAACTCTGTGTAATGCTGCACCAAGAATATTGCAATTAATCAACAAACAGTTTGACTTTAAGATTAACAAAGAAAGTGCCAGAATAGAGCACATTTGGACAATCCTTACTTGCAAAGCTCGCACGTAAAGGCCAGCTTTTTCACAAAGTTGAGCAATACGAGGACGGTCATAATGGCTGAACATGCCATTAGCCAATATTGCATCAGCAACATTAGGGAAAGTCACCAGATTTATCTCCAACACCTAAACAGAAATTCACAAGATCGTATCACTTCAGAAAAGGAAAACATGAGAGTAAGTCGCCCATAAAAGATGGGAAACAAAGGATGCACCTTTGTCTGAAGGAACCCATGCTCTGGTAGGTTTGGTTTTAAAACATCAAGGAGAAAAGCAGTTGCCTCTCGGATCAGATTTCTCTGAGAAGTAGCCAAAAAAAATACATTAATTTCAAGAACCACTCAGTACTAAATCAATGACTATG